TGCAGGCAACCCTCTGCAGAAGTGAGAACAGACTCACGGGACAATGCCTCCCTCAAAGCCTTCAGAGGGAGCGTGGCCCTGCTCACACCTCGATGTTTACCTCTAGCCTCCAAAACCATGACAGAAGAAATTTCCCTTGTTTCCAGCTATCCAGTTTGTGGTATGTTATTACAACGGCCTTAGGAAACTAATAGTGGTTGTTCTCAGGATTTCAAAATTAAGTGTATAAATATTCCCTCCATACAAAGTCTGCTTCAGAAAATTGCCCCTTTCTTTTCTGTCAAATTGAAATAAAAGAAAACATTTATAAAAGCGTCTCACAAGCTCTAAGAACACAGAATTTTCAATTCAGCTAATTTTTATTTATTAATTGCCCACTCCATACATCCTGTAGGCCCTGTGAAAAATAGAAAATATTCAGTGTCTACTCTTAAAAGCAACTACTGTATAGCACAGGGAACTCTGCTCAATATTCTGTAATAATCTAAATGGGAAAATAATTTGAGAAAGAATACATGTGTGTGTATAACTGAATCACTCTGCTGTACACCTGAAACTAACACAATATTGTTAACCAACTAAACTCCAATATAAAATAAAATATTTTTTAAAAAGCAACCATTAATTATAAACAAAATATTGAGGACAGGGAGAATTCTCATGTACTCCATAAAAATAGTAGTCTGATTTCTAACAGAAAAACATTAAAGTGAGGGAAGGAGGCAACTGTATTTTAGAGGAAAATATAAACAATTATGAAACCCTGGAGTCGGGCCAAGAGAATTATGTAGAGGGTAACTGCTCAATAAACATTTACTGAGTTACTTAATTATTAGTTTAAAATATATGAGGATTATTAATGTTTATACATTTTGAGTCTTAGTATTCATAGTTCTAAATAATAAGTGCATATCCAATTAATCTGTAACTACATTAACTCAAAGTATTTCAAATCGGTGAGTTAAATGCATTTGTCCATTCAATAATTCATCATATATTTGAGAAATATTTACTGAGTATGACTATAGCCAAGGAGTTATGTTTCATCGAATGAAAGATGTGGGAGTTTACCCTACAGTCCAAGCTACAAGACTTCAAAAAGGGGAGTCCCACATGAAGACGGCTGACTAAAAACACACATTAATTTCACCTCTTCCTAAACTCTAACCAAAATTACAGTAAAGAATTTTCAAGACGCGAAGCCCCTTGAACAGAAACTAAATAGAAGCTAAAATGCAGATGAACAAGAAGCAACTAATTTAACATATTCAACAGAGCCAAGTCTCAAGCCTCCTACAGAAAAGCTGAGACCCAGCTTAATGAACAGGGCAGGACCTTCAGGAGGCTCAGAAACCGGTAACAGCAGGTACGTCTGAAACGGGGGGTGAGTGGGAGGTGATAGAATAAGATGCATGGGGAGCTGTCTAGGAAGCAGTTGGACCCCAGGTATCCTCCCCTCCCTGACTCTACAGACCAGTGGTCCTCCAGTTTCCTCAGAAGAGGATGAAGCAGGTGGTCCCTGGTCTATGGATGCAGGAAAATACAAACTCAGCACGGAAACCCCAGGCTCTCTTCTTGCCACTCAGCTCCTAGAATGCGGGCAGCTCGACCTTGAACCCCAGGTGGGAAGGTGAAATTCTCCTCCTTGGAAATCAGCTAAAGAGGAAAAACCATCATACAAAGAAGTGGCCTCCATACAAAGAAGGTCCCCCTACATGGACCAGTCCTGCCGTCAGCGTTCGAATCTCCCTCCTACTCAAGAGCGCACAGTCAAGGAGTCTCAGATATCCAAGGAAAGCCTCTAGCAAGAAAGTTAGAAACTAAAAGCAACATGGAGGAGACAAACTACTCTGGGAAAAGAAAACTTTAAAAAATCAATACTTCCAACAAGATAAAGTCATGCTTCCAGGCTGCAAGAAGAGGAGGCCATAAACAGAGCAGCATTCAGAGAAAAAGCGCCAGACAAGTGCTCATAAAAATACAACAGCACAAATGAGTGGAGAAAACCTCTGACAGTAGAGCAGAAACAGAGGAGAAAATGAAAACCTGAAATGAAAACAAGGAGAAAAAATTACATAGCCAGCCCAGGACTACCACCTGGTCACAGATGAAGACAAGAGAGAAAAGAGAGGTGGAAGACGTCATTTTAGAAGAAGCATCCCCAAAATTAAAGGTATGAGTTGCAGACACCCAGGGTACCCTGCGTTCTGGATGGAAACAGACACCTGCAAAGGCCTATCATCGTGAAATTTCACAACAGTGGAGAAAAGGAGACTATAAGATGCCCAAGGAGAAAAGGAAAAATGGAGCAATACCTCCAAATTCTTGAGAAAAGTGACAGCTGACCTAGAATTCTACACCCAAACTATCAGGGAAGCGTGAGGACAGAATCAGGATTCTTTCAGTCACTCGAGGTGAGAGAGCAGGCTGCCAGCACTAAGATGCTTTGCTTTGTTTTATCATCTTTGTAAGCTGAGGACAAAATGCCAAAGTAAGCTGGACCCAGATTGTTAACGGCACCTGGCTTGTCCTGACCAAACTCTGAACAAGGTCCCAGGGACCCCTCGAGGTCCCACTGCCTGGAGCAGAAGAGAACATTCAAGTCACTGCACAGAAATGCTGTGCTGGGCCTGTTATGAGAACCGGAGCCAGACCCGTCCGCATTTCTGTGGGAGGTCCGGTACCTGGAGTTCAAGCTACAGTTTGGCTGATGACCCAACTAATTCCCTAAGATTAGCTCAGGACTGTGCCTACTCAACTCCCCTGCAAACTCTGTGGGAAAGTGAGGCCAGCTTAGGACCCAGGCACTGTCCAGTCATCCTCCACTCTGGAGAGCAGGAAAACGCCCTCTCCTGAAACAATCAGGGCTGGTCTTGTTTCTCCTGTTGTCAAAATTAAGTTGTGTAATATTAAGGAAAACATACATAGGTAGTAATACTACAAGGAGAGGCAAGGAAATGGTTAACACCAAAGTTAGGGAGCTGGTTACCCACAGCTAGGAAAGGTCAGGTGGAGGGATGCTAATGGACCCGTAACTTCCCGTGTCTAGACGGGGGGCAGGGGGGATTTGTATTTCCACTGTATCACTCTGTGAACTCCTCACGTGTATATTTCAAATGTATGTGTATAATATATTCCAAAATAAATATATTCATACACTATTTTGAAATAAAATTTATTTTCTCAAGGGCAAGGAACATGATCAGATTTATACATTTAAAATATCACTAAGGGAAGCAACCTAACTGTCCATCAAGAGATGAATGGATAGAGAAGGTGTGATGTATACACACGCACAACACTACTCAGCCATAAAAAAAGAATGAAATGCCATTTGCAGCAACATGGATGGACCTAGAGATTATCATACTAAGTGAAGGAAGTCAGACAGAGACAAATATCGTATGATACCACTTATATGTGGAATCTAAAAAAGTGATACAAATGAATTTATTTACAAAACAGAAAGAGACTCACAGGCATCAAAAACAAACTTACAGTTACCAAAGGGGAAAGTGGGGGAGGGATAAATTAGGAGTTTGGGATTGACAGATACACACTACTATATATCTAATAGATAAACAACAACAAGGCCCTACTGTATAGCACAGAGAACTATACTCAGTATCTTGTAATAAACTATAATGGAAAAGAATCTGAAAAAGAATACATAAATACACACACACACACGTATATATATGTGTAACTGAATCACTTTGCTGCACACCTGAGACTAACACAACATTGTAACTCAACTCTACTTCAATAAAAGTGCTTTTTTAATATCACCAAGGCCACTGGGAAGAGACAGTGGACACCAGCTGTAGAGGTCAAACGAGTGACAAGCGTGGTGGGCTGGCTTCCGAAGAAGCAGTGGAGACAGCTCACGGAAGAGTAAATGCTCTTTTTCTTAATTTTTATTTTTATTTTATTTTACTTTTTGCAGGAAAGGAGGAGGAAAAAGAAGTTATCTGGTCAGTTAGCAAAAAAAAAAAAAAGCCCAAGATAATATTGCGTGATCAGTGTGATTATTACCGCTAATAATAACTTAATAATTATTTTCATAAGAGGTCTTAAGTCCAATGTTGCCAATGAGAAAAGTGCTGAACAAGAGTATCGGTGATTCACCCTGCTAGGCTAAGGTTCTGAGCGAGGACTTCCTCGTAAATAAAATACAGGAAGCCAGCGCCCCAGTCTGAGCCTCACACTCTTGCTGCAGGCGGTACCTAGACACCATTTTAATTTCATTTTCCACATGAAACTTCTACGGCCCTGCAGAAATGTGCCCGCTCGGAACTGAAAAGCAGGTTTACGTCAGCCCACCACAAGCCCATCCACAAGTCTCCCAGGAAACGGCCCATGTAGAGCTGTTTCCCACCTACTTGAGCTCCAAATAGAGACCATTTTATGGGTCCCTCTTGCTGGAGGGATCACTCCTGCCCAGAACTTAATATTCTACACATCATATAAATTTTAAGCATAATTTTTAAGAGTTTTAAGAACTAGGTGATCTATTTCAGTCGTGGTACATTTCTTTAATTGTCTATTAGAGGAAGGCCTACTACCCAACAGATACTAATGAGTTTCTCAAGCCATCAAGAGAAGCATCATTTTCTACCATCTTTACCGAGCAAATACCAAAATTAGACTTGTTCCATTTTCTTTTGTTTCTTTGGTAAGCAGTGAGAGGGTGAAAATGAGATTTCCATAATAATACAAGATGGAGAAAAAATATGTAAACCTGAAAAAAAAATTATTAAGATTCAAATTACCTTATAATATCCTTATTAATTACTTGATAAAAGATTTTAAGCATTATCTTGGAATATGGCTATTTGGGAGGATTACAAAACAGAGCAAAATGGAACAGATAACATTTTAAATGAACACCGGCCAAGAAGGTAGCTTTTTAAATAGTGGGAAATGATTTGATGTGGGCAACTTTTTACACAGTTTATTCTCGAAAAGAGGAGAAAAACTGCTATGAATCTACGTCTTACCTTAAACACTTCCATTGGAAGAGGAAAGTTAGCAGCATCAATAAGGGATTTCTCCAGAGCACATTTCCACTCTGAGTCCATCTTCAAAGGATAGATTTCTGTATCAACAGCAAATCACATAAGAGTTTAAGGGCTGAAATGTTCTACTGGGTGGTTCTTTCTCGGATTTTATCTTCTCGGGATTTCATAATAACTTGGCAGACGCAGCAACCCTAAGAATTCACACCCTGCCCGCCATAAAAGGCCACCTGCTAAAGAGATTTCCTGAAATTAAATAGCAATTTGGGATTCTGCGATCAGAAATGAAGAATAAGCTTAATAGGGCTCTTCTTCAGGGAATATATGCATGCATTCTGGGCATAATTTAATAGTATAAATCACATTAACCACACTTCATCCATCCACTGCCCCGAATTCCATTCCATCACCTGGGAAGTAACATCCATGGATGAAGAACTTATTATCTGATAAATTTCCAAACTAGAAAAGACTCTTGTCTGGCGTTTTCAGTTATTACAGCCTATTTTTCTCTAAATCTCCAAGCTCTCATATGCTAAAAATAGTCCGCGTTTAAGTCAGGAAATTATGAAAAGGTAAATTAAAATTTACCAACCAAGTCTAATATTTACACTTGAAATGTTGCTAACACATCACGTTGCCCATGTTTTCCCCCAGGCAGTGGGGGGAAGGGATTTACGAAAGGAGGTTACACTGTCTGAATACAAAATTAAAAGAACAAAATCGTTGAGCACTGTTTTTACCGATTGCTGGAACTGCAGGGGAATTTTATGATCTGATCTCAACAGATTTAAGACCTTACCAAAATAGGATTTGCAGAAGCACTCACTTGGAGTAGATATGTTTATACCTTCCCTGTATCAACCCAGGCTGCTTCAGACAGACAGCTAGGATATGAATATGAATTTAAGCACAGTTAAAAGGCAACATTAAGCCTTTGGGGCTATATTTTTAATTTCTTGCATGTCTGCTCTTTAGCAGGAGGCCATATATTTTGATGATCATAGCTTCTGAACTCACCTTGAGCTTGAAGCAACTGTGTTTCAGCAGTTTACTTAGTCTTTTCAGACTATCACAATTATGGTTATAGGTGAGAGATGCTGTCAGAAGGAGCCAGGTTATCAATGCACTGCCCACCGCCCCTCGTTGTCAGACACACCAAGTCACATAAAGGATAATTAATGACAAGATAGGCTCTACTTGTGTATAGTGTCTATAATTCTTTCTAGCCTTTTATTTATGCTCTTATACCGCTGCAGAATTTTTTTCCCCAATTTGACGTTTCTCTATCAGAGACAAAATAGCCTGTAATTCTTCTTGGTATACATGTTTGGGGGAACATAGTAAGGTCCCCCAACAAACACCTCTACAGAGAATGAATGAATGGTCCCTCCAACCTCCACAGGTGAGCGGGGGGGGGGGGGGGGGGGGGGGGGTCCTGAGGGAGAACCCGCTTATCGCAGAGTCCCACAAAGGAGGACGAAGGACCAATTCACGGAGCCCTACAAATTGTCCCGAGACAGTGAGGCAGATCCCCTGGAATATACCAGTGGCTCAGCTCAGGGGCACTGCATCAAAGTCTCAGTGAAAAGGGAAGGCAATTCAGGATTCTAGGAAGCAAAGCCCAGAGGACACCAAGGGCAGCAGTTCAAGATGGGGTCAGGAGGGAAACAATACACAAGACCCTGGACTTCCTCAGTAGAACAGAAACAAATCCACCCTTCCAGGGTTCTGGAAGCAGGTCGATGGGGAGTTCAAACTCGACATGGTAGTAAAAGGAGAACCAAGTCATGGAAAAGGATGGTGACCTCCAAAGGCAAGGCCAAAGGAAGGGTCTGCAGACATACAGGGGATAGAAAAAGGGAAGAGGAAGTGTTGGTGCCCGAGCTCCCACAGTCTGTAACTGAGGTCTCTGGGTGGGAAGGGGAGCCCCTGAGGCAGAGAAGAGGGTAAAAGAAGAATGGCTTAAAAATTACTCAAGTCCAGAGCCATGAAAACCCAACATGGTCAGGTCCAAACTCAGAACTGAGCGAGGAGACAGGCAGCCGCCAGAGGGATGCTCACAGCCTCTCCTGACATCTGGACTCACACACTCTGCTCCTGGCAGAGCAGGACTGGACCAGCCACATCACCCTAGAAGGCTGCATCCACCTGATGCCACGTCTGTTCCACCAAACCAAAGACAAGTAGCCTAAGAAGCCTGGTGCTTTAATCTGAATATGCCCCCCTCCCCCAAAATTCATATGTTGAAGCATCTAAGGTGATGGCATTAAGAGGTGGGGTCTTTGAGAGGTGATGAGGTCATGAGGACGGAGCTCCTATGATGAGATTAGAGTGCTTATAAAAGAGACCCCAGAGAGCTCCTCTCCCCTTCCTCCAGGTGAGGACACAGTGAGAAGACGCTATGAACCAGGAAGTGGGTCCTCAATGGACACTGAATCTGCTGTTGCCTTGATCTTGGACATCCAGTCTCCAAAACTGTGAGAAATCAACGTCTCCTGTTTACAAGCCACCCAGTCTGTGGTGTTGTGTTACAGCAGCCTGAATGGGTGAAGACACCCAGGAAGTCTCACGGGACTTTTATCTCTGTCCTACAATCTTAAGATTCTTTGTCTTCGTGCTGCGGATGTTGAATCCTAATATGGAATTTAACCCCACGGCAGGGCATACTCCTTGTCTTAAAAGGTGAAAAGCAACTGCAATTTTGTCAGTATGCTCAACCACCTGCAGAAACTAAACACCTCCTAGTTTCAATAAGCAGAGAACAATAGTCCATGCGTGTGTTCCATTAGACAGAGAGGCACTTGGTTACACGGCAAGTTTATGGACGATAAATAGCACCATTAAAAGAACATAAAACAGGTTCTTAAAGTGATCGTGTTGCAGGTAATTTCATAGAGTGTTTCATGTCAATTTCTGTTGGTGGGAAGTAATAAGCAATTAAAACCTGTCCTGATTCATCTTTTTTTTTTTTTTTTTTTTTTTTTTTTTTTGTTTGGCGGGCCTCAGGCCTCTCACTGTTGTGGCCTCTCCCGTTGCGGAGCACAGGCTCCGGACGCGCAGGCTCAGCGGCCATGGCTCACGGGCCCAGCCGCTCCGCGGCATGTGGGATCTTCCCGGACCGGGGCACGGACCCGCGCCCCCTGCATCGGCAGGCGGACTCTCAACCACTGCGCCACCAGGGAAGCCCCTGATTCATCTTTAACTAGAAGCCTGAGTGAAAACGAGGTGTCCCCCTCTGTGCATGTTGGCAGGCCATCTCACAGAGAGTGTGGCAGGAAGAGGAGTGAACAAAATCATCATCTCACAGCTTCGGGTGATCGAAGGCCTGGAGGGGTGATCCCCTTTATTCATGCACCTCACACCCTCCTCTCCTTCCTTCTCTACCAGGCTCTGACTAGTAAGGAAAGGCTCATCTATGCTTCTTAAAAGACACTGGGAAGTGCTATGGACTGAATGCTTGTGTCCTTCCAAAATTAGTATGTTGAAGCCCTAATCTCTCAATGCCATGGTATTTGGGGAGGTAATTAGGTTTAGATGGGGTCATGAGGGTGGGACCCCCATGACGGGATTAGTGCCCTGGTAAAAGGAGACACCAAAGAGCTCTCTTTCAAGTGCATGCTTGCTCTCTCTCAATACCCCATAGATATAGATACAGATACAGATATACATATATACATCTCCATGCACACATAAAGAGGAGGCCAGGAGACTTCCCTGGTGGTCTAGTGGTTAAGGCTCCATGCTTCCAATGCAGGGTACATGGGTTCGATCCCTGATCAGGGAATAAGATCCCACATGCTGTGAAGCATGGCCAAAAGATTTTAAAAAAAAAAGAAGAGGCCAGCTGAGGACCCGGCAAGAAGGTGGCCATCTACAAATCAGGAGGAGAGCCCTCACCAGTACTCAACCATGCTGATGCCCTAATCTTGGACTTCCATCCTCCAGAACCGTGGATTTGTGTTTTTCAAGGCCCCTCCCCCAATCAATGGTATTTCGTTAAGGTAGCCTGAACTGAAACAACAACTCTTTTTGAATGAGAAATAGTTCAAGTAAGAAGCATCTGAATTAGATTCAGAAACTTCTGGCTCCAGAAACTACCTAAAATAGAAAGAAAAGAGGGGTAAATGGTTGACATCAAGATTAGGAAGGGAAAAAATATACAAAAGAATATAGAGATAAGGATTCTTCTTAAACTTCAAAAAGTTTCATCTCTTTAGTTTCTGCAAAACCATGTCAGATTCTAACTTGCTTTCTAAACATCCAAAAATATGAAAGCAGGTGGGGCCTCTAAATGACCCCTGACCTCAATGACCTACTTAAATTTCTTAGAAGATCAAACATAATCTTAAAACTCTGATCACAGATTGAATATTTAGAAAATACCAATCACCTGAGTAATACTTAGCAGCACAGCAAATGTATGATTATCCCCATTTTACAGATGTAAAAACTGAGGTTTAAAGTAGAGTAACTTGCCCAGAAGCTCTGTAGCCAGTGACAGAAGTGGAAAGAGAGGCTGACTTGAACCCTGACTCCAAGCCCATGTTCCTTCCACTCTGTTGGGTTTCTCAAGCTCTGTTCACACGTGGACCCTTTTAAAGGAAGAAATTCTCATCATGAACCCCACAGACCACATTCCCGTGCATATTATATCCTGGAGCCGTCCTGGGTGCTAAACAAGAGATCACATCTCTACTTGCTCAGAAGCCCCCCTAACACTTCAGGGGAAAGAGGACAGTACAGTTCTCCTTGTGTGGAGGTGCCTCCACCTGGGCTCTCCTCTCCAAATTGGCTTCCAAATCCCCATCTATTATTTGGCTCCTGGAAGGTGGACTTGGCTGGTTCCTTCCTTCTGTCTAGACACACCCGAGTTTTTATTCAGTCAACTCACTCAACACATATTTACTGAGCACCTACTATGTGCTGGGCAGGGTGTCAGGGGACACAGCAGAGAATGGGTCCCGCACTTTCAGTTTCCGTGGTGAGTGAAATCCTCTCATCCAAGGTCTGGATGAAGTGGGGGCGTGGTAAAGCAGCATTCCAAAAGAGGGGGCACGCATAGAAAGCTCGAGGAACACAGAGAAGGCCACAGGGCAGGAAAATAAATAAATGAGGGGAGGTGTTAGGGGTACACAGCTGGAAAAACAGCTCCAGATCTGTCTAATCCTGATTTGCCTTCCATTCAGCACTGAAGAAAAGGCACCCGTGGATTCCCAGTCCTGTCCTGATAACGCCTGAATCACTAAGGACCGCGGGAAGCCACTGTCCCTCCCATGCATATTGGCATTCTACCCTCTTCCATTCCCTCACCTGGCCTTCATTGAAGCTGGACCCCACCTACCCCGGCAGCACGGCAATCCTGATGGTGGGTCGAGTGGGGCGAGGTGGCTTTGTCCCTCTTTCTAACCTCCCATTCCCCCACCCTGTGTCCTCTGATTCCACCCAAAGATGGGATGCAGGCTTCTCGCTGGCGGACAGCATAAAAGCCAGCACCTCCTCCTCCAGTGTTTGAAGACTGACTAGTCAGCTACTTTCTGTCATCACCTATTTCTATACCTCTATTCACACCAAGCTGTTGAGAAATACTGTGTCCTTCAAGAAGTAGAAAGAATAAGGAAAAGAAAGGAGGAGCTATGATTACTTTTAGCAAAGCTGTTGGTGCCAGCACAGCAAAGAGGGCATCGAGAGTAGGCTGACCTGGCACGGCCTCACTCTCAAAGTCCAGTCAGCTCTCCCGGCCCACAGGTCCTGAGTATTCCACCTGCAGTGGGTGGAACCCGTGGATGGAAGAAACCACAGATGTGGAGGAGCCCACGAACGCGGAACCTGGGAAGGGGAAACCACAGGCGCAGAACACCTCCAACCCTCGAATGCAGAAGGCCAACTGGACTGTGCTATTTTATACAAAGGACTTGAGCATCCCTGGGTTTTGGTATCCTCGGGGTCCTGGGACCGATCCCCCGTGGGTACCGAGGGACGACCCTATACCCAAAGTCTCTCTTACCTGCTATCCTCCCCAACCCTTCCAGCTCTACTTACCACCAGTCAATGATGAACACTTTTCATTTACTTAAGCGTGTTTGGGAATAAGAAAAAACAGCCTAGTATTTTCTATGCAAGTGTGAAGTTTTACTCCCACCTAGATTTCATTCAAGGAAGGAGCACTACCATCTAAGTTTAACAAGTCACATTGGGTTCTGAAATTAATTTAAGCAAAGGATTGGGCTCTGTTCCCATGTGTAAAACCTGGGTGATTCATTGCCTTCCCGGGTGTTGTTCTGCTGAATCAGGTAGGAGAATTCAGTGTTCATCTTGTAACTACTGCATCTGAAGAACTAAGAGTCACATCTGGGGGTGTCCTTTCACCTTTTAATTTCTTCTTCTCATCCATAGCCTTTCCTGCAGACAATTTTTTTTTTTTTTTTTTTTTTTTTTTGCCATTGCCATCAGGACTTATTGCTTGAAACAAAAAGTCTCCTGATGTGTTTGGTTTGACCAAGATCCATTTTAAACCTACAATACCCCAAACTAAGTTTAGCTGCCGACAATTTCAATGTTGGGAAAATAACTTCTTGATGATGAATGCCTTTTCCAAAGTCTTCAGTGAAATGGACAATTCCAGAAAATTACTAAGATGAGTAAACACAATTTATTCTTGTCTTATAAGGACATCAAATTATCTAAAGGAAGAGAGAGAACTCTCCTATGGAAATATTTCCTTAGTTTCTGCAGGGACACTTTCCATTCTGGCTGCTGAGTATGAGTCCACGATGTCACAGGAAGGGTACATTGCACCGAACCTAAGAGCCAGTAGTAATCCTTTGCTTTGCTATAAATTTTTACACTGGCAAATATATGTTTTTCTTAAAATTTATAAAGCAATTAGATACTGAGCTAAGACTTATACACCCAACTTTCTGCACAGAGTAAATTTCTCCTGCTAGGTTATGAATCCCTAGGCAAACGTGAGCTTAGATCTCTTCTCACAAAACTGACAGGCCCTTCGTTTGTAATCATATCCCCACATTACTCAGGGTATAAATGGATTTCCCGGCTGCTTCTCAAAACGTTGACAACAATAATACTAATAAAATACCATGTTCTATGTCTATATGCCTGTCAAATTCAACTCAAATGCAAACACATGACACACAGAACCAAGACGTTTTTTCAATTAAAGCCCTTGACTGACGGAAAAGGGAAATACAACGCCTCAGCTTCGTGTCTTCAAGACTAACACTGGCAACTAAGATGGGAGGGGAAAAAAATTCTCTGGCAATTTTAATGAAGGAAAGAGCCAAGTCTTTGCTCCCAATAAACCTGTGAAATTGACCAGAATGAAAATCAGCAAATTTGGGAAGAAAGGAGTATTCCTTCCTTGGCATCTTTAATTCCATAAGAATCCAACATTTTTGTTCTGAAGCTACATGTCGGAAGGTTGGTAAGGCCAGTCAGAGGCAGCAGGGGGAACTGGATGGAAGAGGGAGGGGGCCTGGGAATTTGAATTACAGCACGTTCCTCCTACAAACTGGGTGATCTTGGACAAGTAGCTTAAACTCAGTCTCAAATGTTCTCTGCTGTAAAAGCAAACAGTCACATGAAATAGTTTCTTGGAATCAAAATAAACATCAGAGCAGATGTAAAATCACCTGGCATGTAGTAAACATTCAAGAATGGTTATTTCATAAACACTGAGATTTCTGCCCAGTTAGGTATGTCAGGAAGAATAATGCACTCTTCTACCCAATTAAGTCTCTGGAAAGTCATTTGACAAAGGTATTTGAAGCTACTTAAAAATCTATGACATGCCAGGAAAAAAAGCATGATGATTTTCTCTTTGCTATTTCCAGGTCAGGACAGATAACATAATGATAAGCATTTGGTTTGGATATTCAGATGGATGGATGGATGGATGGATGGACGGATGGATGGATGGGTGGGTGGATGGATGATGGATGGGTGGGTGGGTGGATGGGTGGATGGGTGGACGGGCAGAAGTACAAAGACTTTAGAACCTACTTGCAAGCCTATCAAATTCCTAAAGAAAAACAGAGAATATCACCAAGTCCCACTATAGTGTGTGTTTCATTTCCAAACCATTGATTGCAAAGGAACCAGATCAACTTCTCCACAGCCTCCAGCTCTGCTTTCTCATTTTTGAACGCTATTCATAGAACTCTTGGGTTCTATTTGCTACAGAAAGTATTTGAAGTTAAAACGCTTCATATCCACCAAGTACAGATGTAAAAGACACCACAGAGCTAATACATTTTCCAGAGAGACATCCAGGAAAATAATCACATCTCTTTCTAAAATGCTTGAGAGCAGCCAAAGCTCTGGCCCTTACCTGAAGGTGGGTCCATTCTGTATTTATTCTCTTGACACCAACCAACTGGTCGAAGTCTGTAATCCAAGTAAAACAACCACTGGTCATAGGATTCAGTGTCCTCCAATCCCACATAGCGAAGGCGTAATCTTCCTCCAACATTCTCAATCACACTAACTATCCAGTACTGAAAAGGGCTCTGAGAATCCTGGAGCTCTATTAAGGAATCAACTGTAATGAGGTCTATAGGGCCTTTCCCTCGCAGAGGCTGTTTAAACAGAAGCAAAACTCCTTATTTTAAACTTTATTTTAAGGTTCTCATGGAAACAGATGACAGCAGAAGATAATATTTTTTCACACCATCATCCAAGCTACTGGCAAACAGTCTGGTGTTTCCCTCCACCCCACTGCCCCCGCCCTCCCCTCCCCTCCCGCGCACACATCCATTATACCCGACTCTGTATCCAACAACAAAGCCACAAGTAAACAGAAAATGACAGTTTGTGCTAAGTTCTCACCAAACAAATCACCCTTCCCAGATAAAACTGCATTTGTGAGGAACGAGGGTGCTTTTAAGAAGCGTTACACCAAATTTGCCTCGAGCTAGAAAACATGCGGTAGCGAAATGTCTGCTCTTCCCATAGACGGACACATCTGATATGGGGCGATCGATTTATACCTTGGCTCAGCAGACATTTATCTTATGATGGCCCCGCTCTCATAATCAGGACACTCTCGTACTTTGATTACGTGAGTAATGCATGAATATGTGTAGAGGACATTCTTGATGAATGCCTAATACACATTAATAATCAGCTAAATTAGACTATTGTGTAATTTGTACACTTAACCCCATAGTTGGTTTACAAAATATATATAACACCTGCCCCGTTTAAGCAACCTTCTTAGCACATGTTTGCATAGGAAAAGGGTGTTTGTTCAGCCAGCTTTGCAGGCAAATATGTTTAAAAAATTTAACAGAGTAAAACAATTTGTCCTTTTGAAAGGGTGAACAATCATCATTTTGATTTGTCAACCAAACAATTAAATTAGTAGCCACTGAGATACAAAACTACATGAGGCAAAAATCATCACAAAACAAAACCAGATGACTATATATTAGACCGTGGTGTTCCAAAATATCAATATCATTTACGACAGGTGAGAAATTTATGGTTAATGTTAAGAGAATAATGAGATTGTCAAAATCCACACTGTATTATTGGTCATTCATTGTGCTCTCCCCTTTATCAGGGGCATTCTTCAAACAGATTTGGTGACTCAATAATTATTTATAACAGTATATTTCTCTTCCTGTTCTAGAATGTAAATATTAAAATGCTTTATGATAAAATTATTTTCATATCATCATCAAGATTGCAGATTAAACTGTTTTTACTTCAGTACCTTAAAATGACCTTAACCACATTTAAATATGGTTAGCCATTTCTATTACTTAACGTGTATGTGTTTAAATTTCGGCATAATGCATCCGGAATACAATAGTTAATGGAACCATTTATCAATACACTTTGAGACTACACCCCAGCACATATATGCTTAGTCATCACCTCTACAAAACAGTTATTCTACAGGATTTAATATACATTCACTAACATAAGATAGAGTCTTAAACATATAGGATAGTGGATACCTATCCTAACATGTTATTATTTTAAAATGTGTTCATATAAAAGCAAATTTTCCACTTATTGATTGGACCAAAGGTGAAGATTCTTCAGTGCCATTAGAATCAGTAGCCTAAGTAATTTGGGAAAAGACAGGAAGTTACGCTATTTGGACACCGATATCCGTGTGGACGCATGTACCCGCAGAAGGATATATGCAAAGGTGCTGTTAGGTGTGAGCTCATGTAACTGTGCTGCTTCAGACAGAGAATAGCTGGATAACAATACATACACCTTCCAGGAGGCTGGCTGGGGCCGTCCGGGAACCAGTCAAATCACGAATGAGAAATTCCGTCCAGTCCGTGTACTTCTCTTTGATTGCTGGTGAGACAAAGGAGAGGAAAAAAAAAAACAAAAAAAAAAACCACACACTTCAACAAATCAGTGGAGCTTTCAACATGTTAAAACCCCAGCACTTCTCTGTACACATGTGTTCTTTCATGACTTTTCTTCGTTTTAAATGCTGTGCTTAAATGCAGTACTAAAATGGCAAAAACAAATCTGTCAGCAGTGAGGGACTTCACACCTACCACCTGCCTAGATTTTGCTGGGCACCAAGGAGATGAAAGAATGTGAAGCCCTGAAGTCTTATCATCTCTTCAGAAACTTCTGTAAACAACAAAGAAGAGGGACTTCCCTGACAGTCCAGTGGTTAGGACTCCGCGCTTCCAACGCAACGGGGAAGGGTTCAAGCCCTGGTCGGGGAACTAAGATCCTGCATGCTGTGCGGCACAGCCCAAAAAAAGAAAATTAATTATTAATTAATTAATTAACCATTAAGAAAAAAATTATTTTAAAAAAACCTAGAAAATATTCCAAAGCACAGAATTTAGGAGGTTCCAAGAAGAAACAGCTCCATGAGGGTGCTTTATTTATTTCCAGGTGGGGAAATAAAGCCAGGCTCTGAATTATATAAAGATTTATTATACAGGCAGAGAAGAGGAAGAAGGGATCTGCAGGCTGAGAGGAACAGCATATGCTAATGAGAGTGATGGGAGGGAGGAAATGGAGAAAGTGCAGCCCTCGGACACACGGCCCGGTCTGAGCACAGAGCATTGGGAAATAATGGAATAAAACGGTGGACAGCCCAGAAAGCCAGCACACACGTTTAATAAACAGGAAACCTCTGCATAAGATGAATCTGAAAATAGCATAAAGGCTTGAAGGGAAACAAAGGAAGCTAACGGCAGAGAAGCCAAGAAGAGGCTGCTGTCTGGGGCCCCAAACAGCGGTGAGAGCACTGCATTTGAGACACATCTTTTGCAAAAGAAATATCGGCCTTTGGAAGCCAGCATTCTACAAGTGCTTCAAACCCAAGACTTGAGAAAGATGTAACTTTTTTGGCATAGCTCCCAGGCTACAGATGTCCCAAAGCTAAGGTTACATCCACCCCTGGGAGAGGCACCAAGCCTCCTCAGCGCATCACAGGATTCACAACCTCGTCCACATGAGAACAGCACACTGGCCCAGACTCCCATCCACCCACTGTGATCCTGACCTTCACGTCCCGTGAAGACCAGACACTGCCCAGGGTACCACGTTCAACACATAGCCTCTGTGAAAGGTTCGAGACTCAAGCAGTTCATAGATCGTTTACGTTCTTTCAAAGCAAGATGCAACCGTTTCTAGCTCAAACCTAAAGGAACAGAGTTATTACCCAAGGGAAACAGGCCACACCGGTGGTGGGAAAAGCAAGCTCACGGTGTGGTGAAGACCTGGACTCTGAGCTGGGCTCTGCCATCGCTGGCTACATGACTTTGAGTAATTCACCCAATTTCTCTTGGATTCTTTCCTCTAGTGCTACAACATTTTGCTTGTGGGATGCTATAAGAATTAAAGAAGATACACCCGTCAGAAAAATATAACCATACCTGGCACGTCTATGCAATTAATAAATAACAACTCTGGTTTTTTTATAAGTATATACTGAATTATTACACATTCTCACCAGATATTTTTTATTGATTCCCACAAACTGCAGATGGAAACTCTCAACATGCTTTGGCAGAACTGCCAACAGCTTAGGGATCAGTGGCAGCAACCTGCTATTTCAATCACTAACCTGCAGCTCAGTCAATATCTCCCACCATCACCCATTAATGATCATAAGACCGAGAGAAACATCCAAATGGAAGGGACTCAAGCAAGACGAAAGGGATTCGGGCAAAGTTGGAAAGCCCAGCTTTGGGTGGGACAACACTGTCCTAGACCTGGACCCACTTAGAAAAGAGCAACCCACCTCTGCAACATCTCTTCCTACTTGGGATTTTTTCCCTCAAATAAAATACCATCTTCTACATACATACTTATAAGAAAATGCATATATTTGGGGCAAAAAACTGTGTTATTGGATCCTTTTCCATCATTAGCAAGTGTAGCAAACATTTTTCAATGCTACACCCATTTCTATGGACTAAATGTTTGTGTCACCTCCAAAATTCATTTGTGGACTCCTAATGCCCAATGTAACTGCGTTAGGAGGTGGGACCTTGGGGACGTGATTAGAATTAAATAAGTTCATGAGACTGAAGCCCTCATAAGTGGGATTAGTAACCTCATAAAAGAGACCCGCCTCGCCCCTTCTTCCCCGTGAGGACACAGCGAGATGTCTGTCTGTGAACCAGGAGGATGGTCCCCACCAGACATGGGGTCTGCCTGTATCTTGATCTTGGACTTGGATCCAGCCTCCAGAACTGTGGGAAATAAATTTCCACTGTTTACAAGCCACCCAGTATTTTTGTTACAGCAGCCCGAATGCACTAAGACAGCTCTCCTGCTTGCCTAAGGTGACTGAGAAGACCAAAGCAATGGAATACTAGATAAATTAATTAAAATTTGTATTTATCTTTCACTTTACAAAGCCTTTTAATTTACTTTGTATCTTTTGATCATCCTAATAATGCTATGAGGTGGCTGTTCTTAACTAACTTTCGCTCAAGTTCACTAGAAAAACAAGGGCAGAGCCGGCCTCAAACTCGAGTTTGCAGATGCCAAACTTATAAGGAGTCTTTCCACTAGGATCTATGATTCTCAAAGCTTTTGCATACAGAGAAATCAACCATTTAAATTGCAGGCATGACAGAGATAATATGAAAATGACTGCTTAAAAAAAGTTTCAAGATTAGGACAAAATATACAACAGCACCCAATAAATATGCATTTCATTTTTTATTCCAAAAGGGTGACAATTAGCACAGTTGAGGGAAACATGGTCCTGTGGCTGACAGAATTTATGTCTACATCCCCTATGAGAAGAAAGCTCAGTTTTTCATTTAAGGGTTGTTTCTAACGTCCATGTAATCAAAGTTAAATTAGAATTTCTGAAATATGTACGCACCCTGTGAAGACACTGTGCAGTGTTGAAATTTAAATAGTCTGAGTCACAGCAAGAGAACACTGGAGATGGCTGTGAAATTTACATATTTGGGGCCCTGCACTCCAAAGGTCCTGTAACTGTCCATTAATATGCTTTTGCATGAGGCTCTGAAGCAAGCTTTTATTTGCCACAGAATATCTAGAAAAATGGCTCTCCATGGAAAAATGTATCTTAGCTACAAAAGGTACACCAATCATTTTAGGTTAGAAAGTAGAAAGAAAACAGTTCTCAGGAACTGTGCTAATTTTAGAACAACTATTTCAGTGGACATTTAGTTCTCAAAACTCTAAATTTTCAAATGTAAAAATCTATGACAAGAAGTACTGCCATATATACAAAACTATGCCTGATGAATTTACAATTCCCAGGCAATGGGTTTGTTTCAGACAATATTCAATTCAGTTAAATTCTAGTACAATAAAAACTGCCCAGAAAGCCCTGAGAATTCATCGCGATACAAGCTGCCCTGTAATTTTCCACATATAAATTTCTAACTAAAAAATTTTCAACTATGAATTTTAATTTACTACAGAACATCTCTCTTCAAAGACTCAAAATCAAGGCGTATGAATGTAAGAAAAATCTCTCTCAAATGTAAACCAATTGCTTGCCCTATGGTCCTTATCTTTTTCTTCAAATGATCCGCACATTAAATCTCAGAAAACTTAACACGCAACCTAACTACAGTAAATGTGAACTTTACAGCAAGAAAGAAATGATTAAACTGGAAAAAATCCGCAACTTTAGGTGGATAAAAGTGTATCCACAACTTGATAGTCATTTTCCCATTTCTTTAACTTATAGAGAGAATCTCCTGGAAGTCCATAAGAAGAATAAAATCCGGATCTTTCTACAACGTTCTCATGAACATGTTTTCAAGGTTCTAGTCAGTTATAACATTATATAAACATTCAACTTCTCTTTTTTAAAAGTCCCAGTTACATTTTTCATTTTCATACCTCATTTTGGAGAGGTACCCACATCTCACCTAAGGAAGCCATCGTGAACTTGAGTTTCAGAAAAAGGAAACACCCCCCCCCACACACACACACACACTTTTTATGAAGACATTTTAGATGACCCCCAAATCCTACAACTGCCTTATTAGAGAGCTGTCTATAATAGGAGTTCCAAATGAAAGGCAGAAGATTACCATCATTTTTTCAGAATTTGGGAAACCACCACTCTTGGTGGATTTCCAGCCCCAATGAGCACATGTAAATATAAAGTAATTCACCATTTCTCAAGGATACTATTTCCTATGGACATTGGTCTGGGGGAACACAAAGTCACCCATCCGAGCTGCCCATTCAGGCAGATCCTGAACACTGAGACCTGGGCTGGGGTCAGATGGACACACTTACCTCTCCTTCCCTGTCACCACACAGAAAAGACAGGTCCATGGAGAAGTCGGCTGTATCATGCCTTTCTGCTCATTTGAAAGATGGGGAGAACAATTACCATGAACAGTGAGGCCACTTTCACTCAAACACACTGTGGGTAAAAGGAAAGTCACATTCCTTACAATCCTAGAGTTTAAACAGAGGATATTTTGTTCTTTCTGGCCATTTGCTCAACTCACTTTCCACCAACCCTTCTTTGAATCCATTGTATCAGTCATGTTCTTAATTTGTAATGGTTCTTTCTTGCTCTTTGGTTGTTCCTTTCTTCTAAACATTCTTCTTACCAGATGCCATTTTCAAAACCCTTCATTATAGTAATTAGAGGATGTTCTCCTTTTCTGTGCCCTGGATCCTCTGATTCCTATGTGTTTTTTGTTTTTTTATCTGCCTCTTTCTCTCCTGTATCAGAGGCTCTCCTGGAGTGACTGGTGGCCTTTAGTCATGCATCATACTTAAATTGGACACTAGAGAAAGCCTGAAAGTGAGATTTGTGTCCTGGTACAGAGGTTTTTGACTCAGAGTGGGCACTAAGCAACTCCCCT